GGGAGGGAAGGGGTGGTATTTTCTCCAAATTCAAGCATTCCTCTTGAACATCGGTTGTTTTAGGAGCGATCTCCAGCGTTGACTCGTGGTGGTATCTATAGGACTTATGGCGCCCATGTGACTGTGCTTTTGGGCACCTGTTTCCCTCTGCATTGTCTTTCCTGCTTTATGGAACAACTATATATTGTCTAAGGGCATTAACTGGTTCCAATGTGTATATAATAATTTACCCTGTAGATAAAAATAATACAAAAAAGGAAAAAAAACAAAAGCAACACTGTGAATAGTAGTACCCGTGCTGGTCCTCTTGCTATGACAGCAACTAGTGGGCATTTATCCCAACAAAAGTAGATACAGTAGATGTCTTGTAAAACAATAGTGCTGTGTCTCAATCTATGCCACTAGGTTTTAAAGAATTGCAAAAGGTAGAACAAACGACGTCATGCCAGTAAGCAGTCAAAAAATAAATGCCTGACGGTGTTTGTGGAGGTCTCCCTGGTCCACATTCTCCCCCTCCAAACCAGCTCAGAGATGACTTTAAGTTTAGAACCACAGGACAGGGCCAAGCAGAGAGGTGGGGGGAGATATTAATAAAGTTGATTTCTTACAAAATACCATTTTCCCACCCTGAAGCAGTATTGCTGGAAATAGGGAAGTGTTTGTAATAAACCTATATCATAAAACAGGTGAGACCATGCATCATGGTGTTTAAAAAGAAATCAGTACAACTCTTCTGTTTCATGGATAAGGGACAATCATAACCTAGGGTGATAATGCCAAGTAAAGATTTTCCAATAAAAACAGAAAATACTGTACCTCTGCAATATCCCTTTATATCATACCAGTAGGATTGTCTCTTAGGCAAAGGTCTCTGCTTTGAATGTGATGGTAGACATTAGCTATTGTGGGTTTTTTGTATTTTTGGGTGTTTTTTGGTTTTTTTTAGCTTTCCTACTGATATGATATAAACAATTAATATATATTTAAATGTTAATAAAACAAGAAAAATGAATCTGAGTTTATTGCAGACCAAGGATATAGTGTTAAAAAAATACCGGTAAATGCACTTGACCATCATTTCTCTAGTGGAGTTGTGAAAACTGACAGCCTTTGATATTCACCCTAAGGCTGAAAGGAGTTGATGTTTTACCTTTAAAACAAGATTAATCAGGGGTATATATAAATATATGTATATTGTATATATGTTAGAAAGATTAAAAGAATAACTTATAAAAAGAAAATCTATATAAAATAATTATATAACCATCCCATGTTACATGTTATCATTAAGTTGGTAACAAATGGCATAAAAATAGCTGTGCCTTTAATTTGTGATAAAGGCTATTTGCTTTTTCCCGTAGAAAGCTAACATATACCTATTGCTGTGATGGGGTTTGATGCAGCCAGTCTGTTGCATTCATGAGAGCAATGGCAGTCAAACGTAGAACAATGATTTAAAACGTGTACAAATCAACCCTACATGATTTCAGTTTAAAGAAAAAAAAAATATTTTTGAAAAGGTTTTGTAAAGACTATTTAAAAACATAGGGAAGGGCTGGGTATGGCCTTCCTGAAACTGCTCTTATCTAAACTATAGTAATCTTTTGAGAGGCATAAAGATTCAAGAGGAAACCATTTGAGAGAGAGGTATTTAGCATATGTCATTTTATATTTAAGAAACACCCATAGCGTGCTTGGTGCTCAACATTAAACCTGGTCTTTGGAGTTCTTGTCTACCACCTAGCTATAGACATTTGTCATATAAACATATATTTAAAACAGTTGGCTTTCTATGTGTTTTGTGAAACAAACAACAACAAGAAAGGAAAGAAGGGAGGAGGGCAGGCAGGCAGGAAGAAAAGAAAAACTGTTTCATCAGTCTTTGCTCAAAAGAATTTTAAACTATACACCATACATCCTGGTTAAACATGTAGGATAGCGTTAAAATTGGGATCTGAGACTCTCTGGTGATTTTGCATTTACCAGTCTCTCTCCTCTTCAGTCTTAGCCAGCGTTTGCTTGTTTGTTTGTTTTTGTTTGTTTTTTCACCCACAGACTCTGCTGGTCCATCAGCTGGAGAGCTCCTCGTGAGTTTGTGTTTGGCATTCTGTCTATATAACGTGTGACCATCTTCTGACAGTTTTGAACTTTAGTTTCCAGTTTCTGATTTGTCAGAGAATTCAAGCTTTCACTCTAAGTCAGCCTGAAATCTTATCCAACCACCTACGGCTGATAAACCCTCTCTTTCTGTGGGAGAACCTAGTGTTAATTGACGCAAACTCGCTGCAGAGAGCTTTCGCTGGTCCTCCCCGTTTTCATCGTAGCGAATGGGCCGGTCCACTAGGAGTCAGGGCCTGTGGGTACAGGAGTCCTGGATCACAAGGTGTTACTAACTTTAATGATTTGCTGGGAACAAACGAATCAGCCATATTTTCTCCATCAGCCATATGAGAAAACTCAGAAATACGTGAATCCCTTCTGCCTCACTTCGCTATGGAACCATTTTTTGTTTAAATGGTCTCTTAAATTGGAGTTGTAATCATCGGTTGTCTTTTCCTCACTACGTAATAAAGGATGAAGCCTAACCTTAGAACTTACAGTGGATTCTCTGTGAATTGTTTCCCCCCCAGTCCACGCATTTATCAACACCGATCAACATCTATTACAGCCCGGCCTGCTGCAGAGCTACACCTGTCCCCTGAGGGGACTCTCTCCATGAATAAAGATCATTAATTCAGATTGGTCAGCAGCGGTGCTCTGAAAATCCCCAAGGGTGGGCTGACTTTATGGTTGTATATCCCTTCCCATGCATCACACCATGACAAGGAAGGGATAGAGAAAGCACCTCTGATCCCGTTTAAAGCAAATATAAATGCATTGCAAGAGTCAAGTGCCTCGGAGGAAGCGTGGCTGCACCTCATCCAGATGGTCCGGGCAAATGGGAAGCAGTTGATGGGGAGGTTCTGTGATTCTCTTTTGAGAAAACAGGTGATTACAAATGACACATTGCTCCTCTCACTGGTTCTTAATTTTGAAGGGGGGTGGCTCTGTTCACATAAGCAAACACAGTTGACTTTTGGCGATTTATATCATTATGGCCTTAATTGCGCCATCAGCAATGTAGGCAAGGTGAATCAAGGCGGGGCTGGTTTACTATTTCTGCATTTAAAGGACCACCTCTCTCATCCCCTCAGGAATAAAACTGTTCTCTTGTAGTGAACCACACAGTTCTTCACATATTTGCATGTGTCCAGAAAAGTCTTCCTGTGTTCCTTTCCATCCTGAGTGTAAACCACACAGCAGACCAGTTATCTGATTAATCAGGATGTGCACCTAACCAAAGTGGCAAGGGATACGCTGCATCTCTTTTCTCGGTCTAGAACACAATGAATTCTGAACAAAACAAACCCCAATGAAAGCAAGAGAAAGTGGGCCGTGCAGGTGGGGAAGGGGGCAGCAGATGTCAAAGGTCTCTTCCTAATTCCTTCCATTGTGCTTTCTCCCTACTGAACAAATGGACCCCGTCACCATTTCTGCCCTGGTTTTGTGGGTGCTTTAGCTAGTGGTCACATTATTAAGACCCTGTGCCCCACAGCCAAAGGATATTAGTTATGCCCTGTCCCTGTTGTTACAGCAAGAATCCCAGGCATGCCTCCTTCGATTGTGCTTCCCTTTATTGAGCGCCACAGGTGTTGGGGTTTTTTGCAAATTGGAGACAAGACCTCCCCCGACCACCACCAGCAAAAAGATTAGGACTTGCCTTATTACTGTGGCCTGGTACTCAACCACCGTATCCCCCAGGTGTTCTGCATGCACTTTATTGAGGTGGTCTGGAACCAAACCTGCCATATCTCCGAGGTATGTCTATATTTGAAATTCAGTACCGACAGTGAATGTTTTACATATTGATTGCTGTTGGTTTTCACTGAAAGGGCAAACTTATTTTTGGAGCGTCTCTGCTGGTCTTTCTAAGGTATGCCTCAGTGACTACAGAGGCTACTCTCAGGCAGTGAAATGGATCATTTATATGGCAAGTCTCCATTGTCTCCTTACTGTTTCTGAGAATGATATTAGGGCTTCCAGTGAAAGACAGATATGTTGATATATCAT